AAAAATTGTGACTAACCCCAGTGGAAGGGATGAGTAAACATGTTTGACTTCCTGGATCTATTAAAAAATTTCCCCTTAGGCCTGCTGTGGGACTTGAAATATATTTATTAGAGCTTTACCCTACAGGACGTTTAGAAAATTGAACTTTTTTAGTAGAATGATGTATTTGTCAGGCCACCAATTATGTAAGGAAGGGTAGTGCCTTCTCAAGAATTATCTCCTTGCTCTCTGTTAAGTATACCATCTAGGATATATGGGCAGTGAAGGAACAAACTACAGATGAGGTCACTTTTCTGAGAGGTGTGGTAGGCAGCTTCTAGTATGGCCCCCAGTGATCCTTGCCTCCTGGTTTTCATGCCTTTGTGTAACCCCCCTCCCACACTGAGTCAGCCAGACTTAAGTGATCAATAGAAAGCCATGGAACTAATAAAAGTGTGACTTTCAAGGCTAAGTCATAGAGGGCATTACAGTTCAGTCTTGGAATCTCGTAGTGTTTTCTTTGGGAGGAATCTAGCCACCATGTCATGAGGATGCTCAAGCAGCCCCATGGAAAAGTCTACAATGGAGAGGTGGACTTTCAACTGGAAGTGGATCCTCCAGCTCCAATCAAGCCTTCAGATGACTGCAGCCCCAGCCAACACCTGACTGCAACCTTATGAGAGACACCAAGCCATTCCAGGATTCTTAACCCACAGAAACCATGAGAAATAAGAAATAATTCACGTTTTAAGCCACTATTTTGTGGGGAGGGGGATTTGTTATGCAGCAATAGGTAACTAATACAAAAGCAAAGATCAGAAACAGAATATACTCCTGGGGTGTTGATGGCATGAACAAGGTAGTCCTGGGAGATGGCAGGAGTGAGAGGCATGTTAAAGAAGCAGGGTGGAGTAAGGATCCTGTGAAAACCAATTTTCTGTATTTTGTTTGCCATTCCATCCAGGCTCTAAAAAGTTGCTGCAGATGATCTCCAAAATGTGTCAATCAGGAGAACACTGTGTGATCTTCATTCAGAAGTCTGGTATTAGGTGTGTCATATGGAGGTATTCCTATAGACAGGTGAGTCTCATTCCATACTGGACAAGTGATTGAGCACTATAGTAAACAAGTTTTGGAAAGGCAACAGCTATTCTTTCATTAAGATTTTTTTTTTTTGAGATGTGTGTGTCAGATCCTGGGGATAATTGCTAGTGAAATAAGCAAGGATGAGTTTGACACAGACTGTGACTTCAAGAAGTTTGAAATGTGAGACTGGCAAGAAAACAATGGCAATACTATGTGACAAATAACCAGGCTAGTAGGAGGCATAGAAGCAGTTAAGGAGGGCTTCCAGGAGGAGGTGACTTTTAACCTGTGTTCTGAAGGATAAATATAATTTGGCCTCTTTCTGGGTGGGAGGAGAGGGACAATGGAGTGTGTGAGCATCTTGGAAAACAAGCCCTCTAGACAACAGAGAAGAATGTTCAGAGACTTGGGAGGTTGTCTAGAGGTCCAAGAACTGTATAGGTAGTTCAGAACGACCAGACTATAGGGTAAGCCTGGCAGGGACCAGCTCCTGCGGGGTCTTCTGTCTCCTGGTAGAACTTGGATTTTATCTTCAAATCACTGAGCAGCAACTATAGGTTTTTAATCAAGGCCAAGACTTTTTCAGATCTGCATTTGGGAAGGATTCCTCTTGCGGGTAGATGGGGTTGAAGGGGGCTGGATGGGAGCCAGGAAGACCACAGTTCAAGAAAGAGGGAGAGTCCTAATGAAGTAATGGCAGCAGGCAAGGAGGGAAGGGGCTGGGGTTTGAGGATGTCAAGAAGGCAGAAGCATTGGAGTTTATTATCAATTGGATGGAAGGCAAGATATACCAACCACTCCCAGGTTTCTGATTTAGGCAACTGAGGAGTTACTCTTTAATGTGGTCATAGGCAACATTTCATGTATGTTTTTTCTTGTAGGACTTTCAGAAAAGTATTTAACTGGAAGAATATGGTAATAAGTACAATTACTTTATTAATTTAAATCTAGTGTTTACCCATTATGCTCCAGGAAAGGGTGGACTCCCTTGGTTAATGTTTCCTAAGTGAAAAAAAATTATTTTCTATTAAGGCAAGGGATCTGGGAGTGATCTAGTGGGTTCTTGCAACTAAAGAGGCCCATGAAAGCTGAAGGAATTAGAAACCAACAGGAAACCTCCATCCATCTAGTCAATTAACATTTCCTGAGTTCTTATTTTGGACAAAGCCTTGTATTAGGAGGTGGAGATATCAAGGTAAATCACACAGTGCCTACCCTCAAGGAGTTGACAGTCTAATTTGCTTATTATCTTTACTCTGGGGTACTGAGACTTGGAATGCCATTTACAATTCTGCTCTCAACCTTAAGAAAGAGGAAGATAGTACAGTCTAGCTGTCTAGCCGCTAGTGTAACTGTACTCACATTTTTCTGGGAAGCCTTTGGCAACAGGTAGCAAGAGCCATAAACGTGTTCCTACTCCTCTTGATCTGCATCTGAAAATTTATCTTGAGGACCTATCTGTGTAAGGGACAAGGATTTGTATACAGGGATGTTTACTGTTCTAATGAAACACAGGACACAACCTAAGCTTCCAACAATGGGGAAATGGTAAAATAATTGATGGTATATCCCTATGCTGGACTACTGGGTAGTAATTAGGAATGACATTAAAAAAAAAAAGAAAAACCTTAATGACATGGACAAGACCAGAAAAAAAGCAGGATACAAATCTCTACAGAATGTGCTCAAAGAGATACATAATTTAGTTTTTTTTACTAAAAAAAAAAAACACTATGTATTTTGCAAATTTTTGACAATGCTAATGTTACAGTATTTCTACAATCAGAACTTTCAGTGTTATCTTCCTTTCTTTTAAATTAGAGATATAATAGAAGAGGAGAAAGCTAGAAAGACAACCAAAATGATCAGTATTTCGGGAATTCAGTTGCATGAAGATTGACCAAAACTAACTGAAACTGCACATTTATGTGACAAAGGTTTAGTAGAATGCAATAACATTACAGGCATACCTTGGAGATATTGCTGGTTCAGTTCTAGACCATGCAGTAAATAAAGCAAATATCTCAATAAAGCAAGTCACAGGAATTTTTTGGTTTCCTAGTGCATATGTTTACACTAAACTGTAGTCTATTAAGTGTGTAATAGCATTACGTCTAAAAAAACAACGTATATACCTTAATTTAAAAACACTTTATTGCTAAAGAATGCCAACCATCATCTGAGCCTTCAGTAAGTTGTAGTTAGTAACATCAAAGATCACTGATCATAGGTAACCATAACAAAAGGTAATAATTAAAAAGTTTGAAATGTTGTGATAATTACCAAAATGTGACAGAGACATGAACTAAGCAAATACGTGGGAAAATGGTGTTGGAAGAATGTTGCTCAATGCAAGGTTGCCACAGACCTTCAATTTGTAAAAAACACAATGCCTGCAAAGTGCAAAAAAGTAAAGTACATGCGTGTACTTACAATGTATTGAGTGACTACTATGTGCCAGGTGCCAAAATGCGTTTATTATTTCTATTTTACAGGGGTAAATAAATGATATAAAATGAGATTCCAGCCTAGGTTGGTTGGTTTGTTTTTTTGACGATGCTAAATACAAGCAAATTTAAAACGGGTAATAAGTAATTCACAGACAAATCATGTATAGGATTTTCAGCACATTCAGGGAGTTGTCATGGTACTAGGTTTGGTCTGAGAACATTCACAGGTCCCATTTTTCCCTGCTGTAGAGCATCTGGCTGTGTATCTTTCCCTGGAGAGTCTGTTTGACATCCGCAGTATATCCTCCTCCTTCACTGCCAAACATGATAATGTCTTAAGATTTGCATCACATCACACACACACCACACCCCTTTCTGGCCATCCTGTTTACCTAAAGAGGAAGCATGTGCTACTTTGCACCAATAAAGGAATGTAGAATAAAAACCTGTTCTAATGGACTGCATGCCCCAGCCCGAAAGACTTCCAGAGCTTCTGTATGTGAATACAATGTGCAACACCCCCGACCCGTTTCCGTGCAGTGCTTAATCCCAGGCATCTCAGGCTGTACCCTGATTAATTTGCGTTTAATTGGATCCCATTTTTACCTCCAGATCTTCCCCCTTTCTCGGCTCTCAGATGAACGCGCAGGGTCAAGGCCCGGGCGGCCTGACCTTGGTTTGTCTTCGGCTGCGCACTCGTGGCGCGACTTTAGGCAAATCCTCGCTTACCCTTCCTCTGCCGAGCGGGTCAACCCTGCAACCGCACCCCTTTCTCCCTGGGCTTCCTCCCGCGCGCCCCAAGGTCCCCACCCCTACGCTACTGGCGTTTCAGCCGCCTTTAGTCGCGCGGCTTTCCCCTTCCAGACGCTCGTTTACGCCGCGCGGATTGGGAGGGCGCGATTCCCGAACGTGGCCTGCGTTGCGAGCGCGCGGCCGTTCCGCAGGCTGGCAGGGCCTTACGCCGCTGACGCAGCGCGCCCAACATGGCGGTGCGG